GTCATGTGATATAACAATATATTTTGATTGGATATTATAAACGTTTGACCGAAATCCTTGATTATCGCAAAAGTGGTAACCAAAATCTTTTTCCGGATTCTAAGCAAAGTTGTTCAGCGGATAAAAATACTATACTCTATTATTAGCGAATTTATGTGTTGAATCGATATTTGGTGAGAAATTTTCTATTTCAGAAAAGTTAAACTTTTAGGTTTAACAGTATATAATAGCAAATATATTTTCCAGTCATGAATAAAAGCAATATTTTTTATTTAAACAAAAGACCTGGTTAAGTAATATATAATAAAAAGTACAATATTCAAATGGTAGACAACAAAGATATCGAATCAGCATTAATAGAAGTAATCAAAATTACATATAGCCAAGGTATTAAAAAATATGATAAAATGGGAGCAATGTATGTAAACTATCTTAAAACTTTACAACGTAAAAGAGATCCAGAAGATCATGTTAGATATGTTGCAAAACAACGTGCCCCAAACGAGAAAACTTATAATGAAAGAATGGCAGATTTCAAGGATTGATATAATGAAGAGGTATATATAAGTTTAGAAAAATTATATAAATTATATTTCGAACTAGCTAGTCAGGAAGAAGTAGTAGAAAAAAGATCCAAGGAAGAGGTAAATGAAATTCTCCAGAAAATACATGGTTTAGAACTTTAACATTGTTTAAGTATCCACTGTGGAGGTAATTCACTGTTAGCAGGTATTTCCAATAACTCTTCTGATACAAACGATCTTTTAGGACTATTACCATTATCATTAATAAGCCAGTATAATATAAGCAAATATCTAACAGAAGCATCATAAGGTAATCTTTTTTCGTCAAACCCCATAGGACCATTTCGAGGTTTAGAGGATTTAGCATATACATGTTTCTTTTTTCTAACTTTATTAGGTGTCATTCCAATTAATCGGGTTATAGTATTATTTAATATCCTAAGAACAGTACGAATATTTTTTTTCCAAATTCTTGATCTTTGGGGGAAAGGTAATAACAATTCATGTGCATCTTGAATTCAAAATACTTTCTTAGCAAAAATTCCATTAAAATTTTCAACAATACCCATAGTAGACTTAGAATTAGCTTTCTGATTTTTTACATTATGTTTTCTTAAAAGGTTTTCAAAATCACCTTTGAATTCAGAACCCTTATCAGTCATTACTAATTTTATCATATCCCATGTAATAAAACATTCCGGATCATTAAAAAGCATTTTTTCAAAAGCTTCAGCAACTACAGCTGAAGTTAGAATATCTTCCAAAGAAAATTCATCTTCATCCATATTTAAGATATCAAGAGAAGTTCCAATCGGTTCTGCCCATTTATAACGAGAAGCAATGTCAACACATGTAAGACAAAATATATAAGTTATATCTCCTACTTTATCATATGGCATATAGATAATATCAGCTTGTAAAACTTCGAAAGAAACAGTAATATTATTGAAACTTACACAGGGAATAAACTTTGGTCGAGGTTTATGGATTTGATGCTAAACTTGTCTCTCAAGCCAATCTTGAACTTCGGCTAAGGTAAAATCAAATCCCACTTTTTGTGAAATTTCATAAAGCTTTTTACAAATAGTTTGATAGCCAGAAGAATGGTAATAGATTTTTTGTAAATCAATAGATATATCAAATTTTCGAGATTCTAAAGGATCTATAACAATACTAGGATTACTCATCTTATTTATAATAAAAATTATTTCATTGAAAAAAAAGCTCGCCAAATTCATATACTCAATCTTTAAAAGAGCAAAACACTAATATGGCAAATCTTGATCCTATTATACAAATTGATCGAGGTTTAAATCGTATTGAAAATCATTTTAGAAACATTGGAACACCATTAAACAATCCTATAAATATTATAAATGGCATTAGAGGTTCTTTGAATACTATTCATCATAATTATCAATCTATATATCAGGATATAGATGATGTTATTACCTAACGAAATAATCGAGATGATCAAATATTGCAGTTACAACAAGATGTTAACAGATATAGATAGCTTGATACACTTCAACAAGATCATATCAACCAGCTTACACAGGATGGTATTACTTTGCAAACCGTAATTATCAGCTTATACAAGAATGTGATACTTTACAAAATCATGTAAAAGATAAAGAGAAATCTCGCAATTTTTGGAAGTTGAATGCTATTTATATTAAAACTCAAAAAGATAGATGTATTAATTCATTATTACATAAACAATTTGCATTACAGCTTCTGAATAAACGAGTAAATCAGAAATTGAAACAGCAGTTACAACAACGTCATAATAATGAAACAATATTGGAATATTGGCGAGATCAACTTATAATAAGATATGAAAAATAAAAAAATAAAACCCATGATATCAGGCAAATAATTAATAATTTACGTCAACAAATTTTTATATTACAAAATAACCCATTACCAAATCCAATTAATATGGCCGCCATACAAGATGTCATGCATACAATTTCATCACGACTGGCTATATTACCAGATTATGATGGACAAGAACCACCACATACTTATTATACAAAACTTAGAACTATAAATGAAACAGCCAGACCTTTAGGTGTTGCCGCTTTTAATGCTGCAGAAAGAGCAAATATAATGAAAAGTAAAATGACAAGTAGATTTTTTCCAGTTCCAGCACAAAACCCCTATAATGCTAATGCAAATATTGTTACAGAAGCAGAAGTCTATAACTGGATGCAGGGTAAATATCGAGAAACAATGAATGGAAATCAACGAGCATTTTTAAAAGCTCTTATGAATGAAAAATTCACTTCATTAGATACAATTGATACTTATGAAAAAAGAATTAGACCTTATG